ACCCCCCCAACTACTGCCCCTTCACAGACAGGAGGAGGATAGGTTTATGCTTTAAATATATTTTATTTATTACCAAAATTTCCAGAAGCCAAATGTGGCGTATTTTTTGTTTGTTTTCCTTAATCTTCTGTAAAGAATTTTTTTCATGCATAACTTGAAACTTGTCAACTGCAACAGTCGAGTGGTTACTTTTTTTTTTTTTAAAAGAGACACTTGTACATGAGACAAACATCCAGAGTACAAACAGCTGTATCTCAATTAACAAAACTTGTCTATTACTAACCTTATAAAGCAGGACGTGCCTTCCCTTTTATCAAAACCAAGCTGACAGATCTGCCTTTATACACACCCAACAGAATAAACTCTGTTTTCGGCAAGGACGTTTTCCTTAAACGTTAGAAAAAAACAAAACAAAACAAAAAAAAAGGCAAAGAATAGAGTGACTGTCCATCAACCAGTCTTTACTTCAGTCCTCTTTAATCTACTTCTTCGATGGTTGGGCCACCGGAGCCACCTGCCCCGGCCCCTCCAGCTCCCTGGTACAATTTTGTGACGATGGGGTTGCAGAGTTTCTCCAGCTCTTTCTGCTTGTGCTCGTACTCTTCCTTCTCGGCCATCTGGTTGCGATCAAGCCAAGAAACCACCTCCCGGCACTTGTCGAGCACTTTCTGCTTGTCCTGGTCACTGATCTTTCCCTTCAGCTTATCGTCCTCCACCGTCTGCTTCATGTTGTACGTGTAGGACTCGAGGGAGTTCTTGGCTGCCACCCGATCTCGGTTAGCTTCATCCTCTGCTTTGTATTTCTCTGCTTCTTGCACCATACGGTCGATGTCATCCTTGCTAAGGCGACCTTTGTCATTGGTGATGGTGATCTTGTTCTCCTTACCCGTGCTCTTGTCCACGGCGCTGACGTTCAGGATACCGTTGGCATCGATGTCAAAAGTAACCTCAATCTGGGGGACTCCACGGGGGGCCGGAGGGATGCCCGTTAGGTCAAACTTGCCCAGCAAGTTGTTGTCCTTCGTCATGGCCCTCTCACCTTCGTACACCTGGACTAGGACACTGCTCTGGTTGTCTGAGTAGGTGGTGAAGGTCTGAGTTTGTTTGGTGGGGATGGTGGTGTTGCGCTTGATGAGAGCGGTCATCACCCCACCAGCTGTCTCGATGCCCAGGGACAGAGGGGTGACATCCAACAGCAGCAGATCCTGCACATTCTCAGACTTGTCTCCCATGAGGATAGCTGCTTGCACAGCAGCCCCATAAGCAACAGCCTCATCGGGGTTGATGCTCTTGTTGAGCTCTTTGCCATTGAAGAAGTCCTGTAGGAGCTTTTGGATCTTGGGGATACGAGTGGAGCCACCCACCAGCACGATCTCCTGGATCTGGCCCTTGTCTAGCTTGGCATCACGCAGAGCCTTCTCCACCGGCTCCAGTGTGCCACGGAAGAGATCGGCATTGAGCTCCTCGAAGCGGGCACGAGTAATGGAGGTGTAGAAGTCAATGCCCTCATAGAGGGAGTCGATCTCAATGCTAGCTTGTGTGGAAGAGCTGAGGGTGCGCTTCGCCCTCTCACAAGCCGTACGCAGCCGCCTCACCGCCCGCTTGTTGCCAGCAATGTCGCGCTTGTGCTTACGCTTGAACTCTTCCACGAAATGGTTCACCATGCGGTTGTCAAAGTCCTCCCCACCCAGATGGGTGTCTCCAGCTGTGGACTTCACCTCAAAGATGCCATCCTCAATGGTCAGGATAGACACATCAAAAGTGCCCCCTCCCAAGTCAAAGATGAGCACGTTCTTCTCCCCAGCCCGCGTACCTTTCTTGTCCAAGCCATAGGCTATAGCAGCTGCTGTGGGCTCATTGATAATACGCATCACGTTAAGGCCAGTGATGGTGCCAGCATCTTTGGTGGCCTGGCGCTGGGAGTCATTGAAGTAAGCAGGCACCGTGATGACAGCATTCTGTACCTTGCGCCCCAGGTAGGCCTCAGCAATCTCCTTCATCTTGGTAAGGACCATGGAGCTGATCTCCTCGGGGAAGAAGGTCTTCATCTCGCCCTTGTACTCCACTTGCACCTTGGGCTTGCCACCCTCATTCACCACACGGAAGGGCCAGTGCTTCATGTCGGACTGCACCGTGGGATCGTCATACTTGCGGCCGATGAGGCGCTTGGCATCGAAGATGGTGTTGGTGGGGTTCATGGCCACCTGGTTCTTGGCGGCATCCCCGATGAGGCGCTCTGTATCGGTGAAGGCCACGTAGCTGGGCGTGGTACGGTTGCCCTGGTCGTTGGCGATGATCTCCACTTTGCCATGCTGGAAGACGCCCACGCAGGAGTACGTGGTGCCCAGGTCGATGCCGATTGCCGGCCCTTTGCCAGACATGATGACGGGGGGTGGAGTTGTTCCTCCAGATAGCCTGCCCGCTCGCCTTTCCCGCCTCCCGCTTCCCGCTGCTCGCCGCGGCGCGATGTGCCGGCCCGCCGCCCTCCGTCGCCCTTTTAAAGCCGCCTCAGCCGCCTTCTGGAACCTGCCAGAACCCTGCTGGCGAATCCAGGCGCCCGCCCGCTGCTACCGGCCAATCGCCTCCGCCACTCGCCGAACAGCGCCCCGCCCCCTGCCGCCCGGCCAATCGCAGCCGTGGCGC